TATATATATATATCACAATAGGATGGATATACAGCTACTTCCTCTTAATTCAATGAGAAGAAAGATTTACACTAATAGTGTTTGGACAGGACATCATGTCTGCCTCTAGTACTATGAATTACTATGAAGACAAAAATATGCAATGTATTAATTATTGTAACTGTCCTACTAACCTGTTTTGAAACTGTCTCATTGCTATTTCTTTCTCAATAAAATAAAAAAATGAATCCCCATATGGCAAAGACAAACAGCAAAATACAACCCCAAATGGTTGGCAGGAGTCCTCTTGGCCCTAGAAAAGGTCAAAGTGTTACTCTACAGTCTGCTTATCTCCTTCAAGGACCCTTGGTCATTTATAAAAGAGGGAGAGGGTCTTCCCAAGAGGGGAGTTAACTTCCTTTTTGGCTGGGCTTCTTGAAGCTGTTGATATCTGTCAATGTCTTCTGATGTCTCTTTCTGCATTTAGCAGATAGTATAGTATGAAATAGTGTCTTAATTACTTTTCTCACTGGTGAGACAAAATACCCAACACCCACAAGTTAAATGGAGAAAGGTTTCTGTGGTTTATAGTTCATACACATTTCACTCCATAGTTGGCTGGATCCAAGGCAGAGAGGCACATTGCAGAGGGGAATCACAGAAAAGAAACAGTTTATTGCAGGTAAAACCAGCAAAAGTAAGAAGGGATCTTGCTAGAATCTTTTTGCCTCTTTCACCTTATCTAGACTATTTAGGGTAGGTAACAGTCACACCCTTAATCCTAGTGCCCTTGAGCATAGTATTGTACCATGAATCAGTTCAAATGTCATACATTCTATATCTAGCCATCTGAAAAAGTCCCAACTATGACCACATGAGGCTTTGAGGGGACATCTAAACATAAGCCATAACAAATGGATCCAATAGATAGATTCTTGGTTCTTGTGTACAAAGAGCAAATAGATGAAAGAAAACACATTTATTGATGAGCATGATTAGCAGTGCTTAATGCGTATCTATAATGGGAAAAATGTTTCCTGCAGAGGAAAAAAATATGGTACTAGGATGACATAGAAACCCATATACATTTTTTTAAGAAGAAAGGAGGCTCCAGCCCAAGTGCATCTAAATGGGTCTCTAGGTAAGGTTGACAAGAATCATTTACAGAATGTGGTGTCATGCTGAGGCAGGGGCTTTCAACAAGTACATGTGCTCCAAGGTTCACTGCCTAAGTTACAGGTAATTGTGGGAAGAGGATTGGCTCTGGGATATTGCTCAAACACAAGTGGGTGGAAAGGAATGTTGTCCTAGTCCCTGTTTTCCTATCAGTACTAGGAGTGTGTGTATCTGCACATACACATTCCCTGAATATATATTCTCTCTGTTCTTTTTTTTTTTTTGGCTTACAATATCAACTTAATATGCCAGATAGATTGAGATACAATGTTTATTATCAAAAAGAAACTCGTAGGGAAGAGAAATAACTTTAATGTAATAAAAATGTGATGTCATTTGAAGGACATAGAATTTTTAAATTTATACTGTAATGAACTATAACCTACAACTTCAGAACTTAAAAAATTAACTATTTAAGATATTATAGCCTTACCATGTTGACCATAAATAAATAGTGCTGTTTTTAATACCTGAGGTTCACTGTCAAGACAGAGTACTCTAAATACAAGTTTAAAGGTTTAAAATTATAATAGCAGTAGAGATAATAACATCTTAACAATATGTTCTCTTTTAGGTCTTTGATGATGGTAGATATGTGTACCTTGTTACAGACTTGATGAAAGGAGGAGAGCTACTGGACCGTATTCTCAAACAAAAATGTTTCTCAGAACAGGAGGCTAGTGATGTACTGTTTGTAATAACTCAGACAGTTGACTATCTTCATTGCCAAGGTGTAAGTTATATTCTTCAGTTCAATTACAGGAATTATGTTTCCATGAAATTGTATATAGGAGATGATACCATAGTAAGGCAGTTCCTTTTTCTCTCATTTATATATTTATAGAGAAGATATCCTAATGAACCTCATGACAAAGTGAAGGTTGTTATAGATTAAGAAATTGGTTAATGATTTGTTGTCTATTCTCTCTGATCACTGACCTAGATTTGATAGCGGATTAGTTTTGAAAATGATTTGAACCAGATATGTGTATCTAACATTGTCTTTGAAATTATTAAACCTAATTAAACTTAAAAGTGAAACCTAAAAGAATGATGGAATGACATACTGTGAATAGTTTTGAAATGATACTATACCTAGCATAGAAAGCTGTAGCAGTAAGAGGACTGTATATTTTGATCTTTACAAATTCTTTCTGCAAAGATGATAGAAAATTTGGATTGTAACCATTTGAAATATTAATGCATAAAATTTTGTAATGGCTGTCAGGCATGATAGCACATTCCTATAATCCCATCACTCAGCAGGCTGAAGCAGGTGGATTGCCTCAAGTTTAAGAACAGCCTGGGCTACATAGTAATTTCAAGGCCATCCTGGAATACATTGAAAAGCTCTGTCTCAAAAAAAAAAAACATAAATAAAATAAAAGTTGTGATAGAAGACCCAATTTGTTATTTTATAATTCCCTGTCTCTTTATAAAGAAGGTAAATGAATTTATTTACAAAAATGTCAGCTTTGGGGCTGGGGAGATTGCTTGGCAGTCTAAGAGCCTGCCTGGCAAGCCCAAGGACCTGGGTATGATCCGCAGCACTGCGTGCCCATGCTGGCCCTGCACCAGGTGCAGATGTGGTGGCACAGGCTGTAATCTCAGCACTGGGGAGGCTGAGATAGGAGGATCACTACGAATCCGAACTGCACAACAAGACCCTGTACCAAATACATAAATAAAGAAAAAAAATGGCCTGGAGAGATAGCTCAGCAGACTAACTGCGTGCTTAGGCAAACACAGGGACCAGGGTTTGTTCCTCTACACCACATGCTGCACCAGCCCAGTCTCCAGGTGCACTGAGCCAGCCACTGAGATGGGGTAGGTGTGGTGGAGCATGCCTGTAATCCCAGCACTGGGGAGGCTGAAAACAGGAGGATCACTATGAATGAGTCTGAAAAACATTTAAAAATAAATAAATAAATAAAATAATGTCAGCTTTTATTATAGCTACACAAGTCCTCAAAGTAGAAATTATTTACAAATCTAGATCTGAATCAGTGATAAAGATATATATTCATGTATCTTTTAGATATTACGAATGAAAAAATGACTACTCAAAATTGACAAAGTTATATAAAAATATTTACAAATAACAAAACACCCTAATCAATTTTGTGTGTGACTTTATAGCATACATTTTGTATACTTTGAAATAACTTGGGTTAACTAAAGAAAAAGTGATTTTATTATAATCATTCCTTGTGATTTTATTATAATATTCCTCAGCTGTCTATTTTTAACCATTTTTTTCATCATCAGCACACTGTAAAAGGTTGACCATTGTTTTGAGAAAGTTAAAGATCTCTTCACTGATGTATTATTTTATACACATTCTATTTTTTTCATCAAATGCATTAATAGCACACACATATTCAGTACATATGCCATGAATTGTATAGTATTATAGATTCAAATATGAATTGCACTTGTTCCTTCCTCCTTGACCTAAAAATTTTCTTGACTGCTGATTAAGTGTAAAACTAGATTAACTGAAGTACATAATCATAGTAAAAATTCATCATATAGAGAATTTCAGAATTTTTCAATTTCTGTATTTTGTTTGGGTCATCTTCATTGTTTCTACTTTTTTGCTAAGACTTTCAGTTTTTTTATTGAAGGTTTCAAGTACTGTAAACATATTTTCTTTTACAAGAAAAGAAAATATCTCCTACATTAATTCATAATGGTTATAATAGCTAATTTAAACTTTTTGTCACTTTCAGTGGGTTATTCTGATTGATTGATTTTGTGTGACTGATTTTGTTTCTCTTGAGACTGTGTTTTGCTTTCTTGGTTCTTGTATATCAGTTGGTATTGACATGTATCTTCTGTAATAATAAATTATAGATATTTATATGTTGTTGTTTTTCTTTAATAGCTATTATTTCCTTTGTATGAATAGGTAATGTTGGCTGGCTTGAACTGCAACACTAGTGTCTCCATATCTCCCCCACTGATTACTTTTCTCTCCTTGCTGGGAAAAAATACCTGACACCCCCAATTAAGGAAGGCAAGTTTGTTTAGCTCAGTTGTGGAGATTTCATCCATAATCAGCTGGCTCCAAGGCAGGATGGTAAATAGCCAAGGATAGCAGTTTATGGCAATGGAAAACAGCAAAACAGCAAGAGCAGAAAGGGAGGAGCAGTGGCTGCAGCAGAGAGCAAGGTTTTCTCCCTTTCTTATATTACATTCAGACTATTGCCTCAGATAGGGTGTAGGACTCACCCATAATTCCAGAAGCACTCACACCCATAATCCCACTTTGGATCATGAATCAATCACAACGTCCAGAAGGTGTCCCATCACTGCATGAGGTTTAAGGAGGACACCTAGACATAATCCATAGCACACTCACCCCAGTATTCCTTTTATGAGAGAAAACATGATATTTTTGACTTAATGAATCTGGCCTATTTTGATTAAGATGAGGACCTTCAGATTCATACATTTTCTTGAACTGACATGATTCTGTTCTTTCTGCCTGTGTATATATACACATTTTTATATTTAAATTTTTGATAGTTTCATCATGAATTTTTGTGCTATAAATGAGATTTTTAAAATTTTCTAAAATTTCAAATTAGCAGAATTAAGATTCAAGCATACTGTTCAGATGTAAGATGCACAGCTTAGATTTAAAATCCATCAATTTTTTGTACATTTTGTTCATCTCAGTGTCTTTTTTATACAGTAAACATTGTTTATACACTATTGTAGTATTTGCTAATCATACTTTATAGTGCTGTTCTTTTATATTCTTTTGTACATTGTAAGAATTATGCAAATAGAACCGAAGTCATGAAGTTGGAGTTTCTTTATGCCATTTCTTTGTTCTGAATATACATACATAATTTCTCATTTAGCAACCAATTCATTTAATGACCTAATCACAAGAATGGAATTTATTCACTAAATGAGAAATGTCTCAGTATCAGCCAGATAGCTCAGGGGATTAAAGCACCTGCTTAGGCAGATGCAGGGACCAGGTTTCTATCCCCAAAGTGCTGTGCTGGCCCTGCCCTCAGGCAGGCTGAGAAAGTGATTGAGACTGGGTGTGGTGGCCTGTGCCTATAATCCTAGTGCTTTGGAAGCTGAATACGGGAGGATCACTATGAGTCCAATCTGTATAGTGAGACCCTATAAAACTTGTACTAAGTGCATAAAAAAAAGAAATGTCTATACATAATGTTTACATTCCTTGTGTGGAGTTGGCACATCTATCTCCTTAACATATCTTGATTCCCTTTTATATTTCCTTTTCCTCCCCTTGGTCCATCTTCCCTCCATCTCTTGATCCCTTCATACTGAGAAATATTTATCTCCCTACTTCCTATTATTCATCTCTTATTTTGCTCTTAATTTATAATTTGGTTTCTCATATTTTTGATAAGTGGCTATTCAATTCATATGCCACTTTACTGATTGAGCTATTCAATTTTTGGGATAGTTTTGAGTTCTTTATATATTCTGCATAATATGCTCTGCCAAAAGAGTAGCTGCCAAATATTTTCTTCCATTGTATAGGCTGTCTCTTCACTTTTTTTTCTTTCTTTGGATTTTTAGGGAAGGGTCTACAGGATGTTCATGGTTTCACTGCTAGATCTGACTTGTAGTGATCTCCCTGTTTACAGTTTCCTAAGAGCTGGGATTACAGGCTCATGCCACCACACCCAGTCTCAATTGTGGTCTCAGCACACCCCAGGGTCCAGGCTGGCATGACAGGCCCAGGATCGAACCCTCGGCCCCTGCACCTGCTTGCAGGCACTTTAATTCACTGAGCTATTTGTCTGGCCCCTATGTCTCTTCACTTTGTTTATTGTTTCTTTTGCTGTGAAGAAGCTTGTAATTTTATGTAGTGCCATTTATTATTTCTTGCTATTATTTCTTGTGTCAGTGGAGTCCCATTCAGGAGGTTTCTGCATATATCTATGATTTCAAGTGTTTCCCACATATTTTCCTATGAGAATTTCAAAGTTTCATGTCTTATATTTGGATCTTTGATCAATTTTTAATTTATTTTGTATTTTATTTCAACCGTCAGCATGAGGCAATTTTCCCTGCATCATTTGATAAAGAGGCTGTCTTTAACAAGTTTCTGCCCCCTTTGTGAAAAATAGTATGACTATAATTTACACAAATTTGTTTCTAGTCCTGTATCGTATTTCATAGGTCAGAGTTTCTATTTTTATCCTGGTATGATGCTGGTTTTGTTACCATGGCTGTTTAATATATTTTGAACTTGGGTAGTGTATTACTACTAGTGTGCTTCTCTAAGGAATGCTGTAGCTATGCTTGGTCTTTCATGATTCCTTAAAGACTTTTTTTTTCTATTTTTTCTGAAGAATGCTTGATAATTTGCTCAGGCTAGCAATGAATTTGTACATTGCATTTGGAAATATGGCCATTTTAGCAACATTAATTCTGCAAGTATATTATCATAGAAGATAACTTTCTTCTATATTCAATACTTTTTTGTTTTGTAAGTCTATTTTAATAGGCTGCGAAAAACAAAATAAAACTTCTTTTATTATCTGTGTTCCAATTTTGACGTTTTTTAATGAAAAATATAGTTTTTCATATAAACACATATTAAGCTTCCCAAGGCTGTGTGCGTTCCTGGCATTGTTTTTAGATTCTTACATATTGGTATTATAGATGGAATCCTTGTATTATGTAAAAGACACCAAATATTTAGTCTTCATCAGAGTTTCCTAAGTAAGCTGC